ATATATACACATACACACAGATGATGAAAATCAGTCTTGTGAATAGAGAACTTCTATCCCCAAAAACATTCAAGGACAAGTGTAATTTATAATTTTTTTCAAATTCACAAACTTTGAAGGATTTCAAGGACCCGTGGGAACCCTGCAGATCAGATCTTTATAAAAAAAAATCTGACCTATTCTGATTTTTTAACTGACAGTCAGGTGTTATAAGTAGGGATTCATCGATGTGAAAATTTCAGCTGATATCGATATCCGATGTAATTATTGCTGTTATGGCTGATAACTGATATTTACAGATGTTGCACAAACACATATTATACAAATACACAAACACACTTGGGTCTTATTTTGATACTGTAAATAAACAACTAGACCTGTGACATGGATCTACTTCAGTTATTTCTGACTGCAGCATCAACATCATCCTGATCAAACAGATGCTGCTCAACCAACCAGCTCCCAAAACAGAAACTAAAGATAAAAAGTGGGAAATCAATATCGGCCCAGTTTTACACATCGGACGACACAGATGTTAATGCTGATATGTTGTGTATCCCTAGTTAACACCTTCAATGTTCCAGTCTTGTTTTATTGAACAATACCCATAAAACAATATAATCTGGTTTAAGTGGTAGTGCTCAGAGCAGAACAGAAGTGGACAGTGATTTTCAGACCTGTGTGGAGGTTTTCCACAGATCCTATCAAAGTATCGGCTCAGCTCCCTAAATTAAGGAAACAGGTTTACTGATTTTTACCTGAAAGGATTTGTTTTGGTAATAACACAAGTTTTAGTGAGTCAAACTTCATCCAGGGTCGTAAAACATCAGAACAGACACTAAATGAACATTTATTTTATTAAGGAGGAAACCCATGAGAGCATTATTTACAACACAAGGCTGGAAATCAGCACAGATCTGGTCTCATTCAGGCGGCCACGTTCAAGAAGAAAGTCTGGATTTTCCCTTCAAATCTAAAAGAAACTTTGTAAGAAGGTAGAATCTGATTATTGGATCTGTTGGAAAAACTAGAAAGATCAAAGTGCATCTTTTATTTTGGCATTAGAGGATCTGTGTTTCCTGTTTGTAAAGGTGTGTCGGACTGAGCTCATGTGATGTTGAACTGATGAGAAACTATCTGGAAGATGAACACTTAAGTTTCAATGGAAGCCACCCAGAAAAGTGCACCTGCTGTTGTTTCAATGACAACATGAGGTCAGGCCAGAGAAGGTGATGTCACAATGACGTGGCTGTGACACGGGGGGCAGAGACAGGCAGTGATGTCATGACATCATCAGTCTCTGAAAGTTAAAATCATTCCTCCACATTCAGCTCCATGCATCCATCTGTCTGTCTCTGAGTGCGTCCAGCCTCAGTCCTCCAGGCCCAGCGTGTTCAGCTCCTCGTCCAGCTCGTCCAGATCTTCTCCCGTAAACAAGTTTTCATCCACTGGTACGTCCTCCTCCTCATCCTCCTCCTCCTCCCCTCCCCCGCCTCCTCCCTCTGCTCCTGGAAGGCCGTTGGCCTCAGCGCCGCCACAAGCGCCGTTCAGTTGTTCTAGAAGAAAGACGAGACAAACCCCGGCTGTGCTTATTTACATGAGCAGGATGTAAACAAACAACCACTGGTCAGTTCTTACCGTTCTTTGCTTCAGAGGCAGGCTGACCTCTGGAGCTGAAGCGGTCTGTAGACGCCACAGTGATGCCTGAATGGTCCACCTCTTGAGGAACAAAACGGGACAAGTCTATGTCCTGAACATCTGAGACTTCATCCTGGAATGAAAATAATCAACCGTCAGATTCATATAAAGAAGTCACACTTAGGGCTGCAGCTAACGATTATTTTAATAACAGATTAATCTGTTGATTTTTTTTTTGATTAATCGGACAAATCATTAAAACCCTTAATTACATGAATATGAGTAGATAAAAACTAATTTCATTCCTGTATAAATTAAGGATGCAAG